TCATATGTATGTATTTATGTGTATATATATATATATATCTCTATGACTTTAAATAAGTTTTAACAATGTTAAATTTACCGTTTAATACCTTTACAAGCACATATTGCTATCGACTGTGATGTTTCTATGTATACAAGTTATGGATTGACATAAATTCTTTATATTTTATTTATGTACTAAAATAATGGTGATGAAAATTTATAAAATTTTGTCAATGTTAGATGTCGCATATCTAAAGCAAAACATTTTCAGATTATTTAATAAATTTTTGTTAAACAGTATATACAATGGATATAATTAGATACAGAATCTATCTTTAATCAAATAAAGAAATAATAATGCTACGCTATACAGGAGGTTCATAAGGTTCCTATTATGGAAAATAAAATGAATTAAAACTTATTTTAGTAGATGATTCTATTTGACGAGAAAAAAATTGTTTGTGTTTTATAAATTTGTTATTATATTCACAATAGAATCTTTCAAACCTTTAGTATGACCTACAATAAATAAATAACGAACCATTTGATGAATCGAGCGTTGCACAATTTCCTCAATTGTAGTTATAATTGCACGGAATGCGCTTAAACGTCTTCTCCATAATCGCGATCTCCCACATTTATACGATCAGGTGCCGCAGTTACGCTAAAGCCAAGAATTCTATTGTCTACTTTAAACATTTTTCCTTTCTTGGGTTTCTTAGATTTTCCCTATATAAACGAATCGTATATAACAATTATTCTGAATGTCTTCTTAATGTTTTAATAATAAGCCAAATGTTTTTTCAATAATACCTTAACTTCCTGGAATTCGGTAGGAGCATTTGGGTTTACGGCTGGTGCAGGTTTACACAAATTATCTACCTGCGCTTGAGGTCTCTGTGCCGAACGCCACTTACTTCTCTTTTCTAAAAATTGCTTTGCAAATTCTGTACTTTGTTTATTATCCCCAAGGTACACACGTATATATTCTTTTACTTCGTATGGTGATTCAATATCCCGTAAAAACCCAACAAATGTAGGTACTAAATAGGCAAATTATGAATACAAGAAACAAATATAAATTACTAAATTATTAGTTAAAATATATTAATGAAATACTTACTGTCAACAGAAGCTTGTATACCGCTCAAAGCCTTGTTGCACCATTGTGTAAAATCGTCAAGCTTGGCAGTGTTTTGTTCGAATAATTTTTTTACTAATTCTTCTTCCTTTTTTACTTTATTTTTAGTTGATTTATTATTCTGTTGTTGCTGTTGTTGTTGTTGTTGAGGCTGTTGATTAGAAGTAGATTTTGTTGTTGCTGGTTTTGTCGTCTGTTTAATAGTAAGAGACGATCTTTGTGTAGTTGTAGGATCATCCCAAAAACCGCTAGTATTAGTATTAGTATTAGTATTAGTATTAGTTGACCAAGCTTGACTATTACTAGATGAACTCGAATTAGTCCAATTTAGACATTGTGAAGCTGTGCCCCATATACCGGCATTAGGAAGGACACTAGTCGACTCTTTTTGTCCTACTTTTTCCTGTCTTTCTTTTTCTTGTTGCTAAAAATTTATTCGCGATATAATAACATTTTATAATATATTCAATATTTTCGAGTGTTTACTAAAATTATTAGAATTTTACTTACCTTATGTGTAATATGTTTCAGATATTTTTATATACATTATATATATATATATATATATATATGACAATAACGATACAATGCAAAAAATTTGTATCATTTCATTAATTATTATTTTTCGCAACAATAACTAAAATGTATTTTCGCAATATTGAAAATATGTATAAATATATATATATATATATTACCTTAGCAATGCGTTCTTGCTCCTCTTGTTGAATTTGTGTAAGACTTTTTACTTGAAGAGGTTTATTAGAAGATGTAGCTTTCTCTGCCCATTTAAATTGTAAACGTTTGGACGAATCTGCCGCTGCTGCTTCTTGTACTGCCTCTACAGCTTTTTGTTGTGCTAATTGTTGTTGCATTAATTGCTGATACCGTTGCTCTTCCTACAGTTATTAACAATTATTAGCAAAACAGTATTAATAAAATTGAACTATCAACATTATTGATAAAGAATTAATTACTGCTTTTTTCTCTCGTTCTAGCCTCTGAATTTCTGCGAGTGAAGCATGAGTTGTAGGAGCAGGCGTACGAGGTGCCTGAGCCCACGGTGCTTTACTTCTTTCTTGAAGTTTACGAAGCGCTTCTGCTTCTCGACGCCTTTGTTCAGTACGTCGTGCCTGTTCTTCAGCTTCGAGCAACTTGCGTGCTTCTGCTTCTTTCCTGAAATAATAGTATAATTCAATTAGAATATATAATAGAAAAAAACAAATTATATATTATTATTATTAATTAGCATTAGGAACTGGAAGTTCATTGCCACAAATACTAAATCCCTCCAGTGTTCCCGTCCCTGAGCGCGACCCCTCCATTCGCGGTCTCTGTAGCTGACTTTTTTTAAGATCTCGAAATAATATTGTCCTCCCATCCACGTCTCTCGGTCTACCTAGTGGTTTTTTCCCGTTCGATATACCGATCAGTATTTTATGCGCTGTTTGCCATCTTAATCGGCCTGATTTTACGACGTTAATGATGTCCAGTTTGTTGTACGATCGGTGTACAACTTTTTTTTCGAAAATCCTAAATTTCTTTTCGTCCCGTAACGTAAATGACCAAACAAATTATATATAGAATCAATAATTTATATATAAGATAAAAATATACTTGATTCTTTCTTCTTCTTGTTTTTTTTGTTCCTCTTCTAATTTTTTCTTTTTCTCTTCTTCTTTCTTATATTTTTCTTCTTGCTTTTTAATCTCATCTCGTTTTCTTTTTTCTTCTTCTTGCTTCCTTTTAATATTTTCCTCTTCTTGTTTTCGTTTTTCTTCCTCTCTTTTCTTCTTCTCTTCTTCTTTACGTTTTTTTTCTTCCTTTTTCTTTAGTTCTTCTTCTTGTTTCCGCTTTTCTTCTTCTTTACGTTTCTTTTCCTCTTCCTTTTTTTTCCTTTCCTCTTCTTCTTTTCGTTTTGCCTCTTCTGCTTGTCTAACTAATTCTTCTTCCTGCTTTCTTTTAGCTTTCTCTTTTTCAGCTTGTCTTTGTAATTCTTCTTGTTTTCTCAATTCTTCTTTCTTTCTTTGTTCTTGCAACTTAAGATTCTGTTCTTCCTGAAAACAAATAATATACAAATAATATTGTATTGATTATACTTACATTATTAATCAAAATGATTCTATATATAATACAAGTGTAGTCCTTTTTTCTTAGTCGGTCACCGAGAGGAGAAACGGGCGATTATCTTCACTTATAACAGACTCTTCATGCAGGGGTCAAATCATTGCAAATGCAAAATTATATACTTACTAATATTTGCTGTTCCGTTTTTATTTCTTTAGTATGTAAATTCCATAGTGTAGTAGGTAATTGACCAGGCGGTACTGCAGGTATAGGTCCCACCTATGATGCAAGTATTATGAACAATACAATACACAACAACATACATTAAATGTATACTTGGAAATATAAAAAGCATAATACCTGTGTTAACCAATTTTGAGCATTAAATTGCGGAGTTATTTGTGGAGGTGAATGTGGCCAAACAGTATCAATATGAGATGTTTGCGGATGTCCAGTTGCATTAACATTAAGTTGTCGTAACAATGATTTTATAGGATTATCTTCTTGAGACGAAGTAGAATTTAAATTTGGTTGTGAAATTGTAGGTACGTTTTGAATGCCGCCCATTTGTTGAATAAGTTGTTGTATAGGATCAATCTGGCCCGGATGTCCTGTAGCACTGGCTTGTGAATTAGATGGTAGATGAGGTTCGGGCTGTATCTTTGCCTGCTGCGTAGTTACAATATCATGCCAATATTATATTATTATAACATATATACAAACGTATATTAATAAAAATGTTACTAACCTGTTGCATTTGATTAAATAATTGTATAACAGGATTTGACGGTGATGGTGTAAGATGAGGCACAAATGGATTAGCAGAAATTGGCATATCTGGTATTTCAGAATCCTGAATAACATATTGGAGTATTAATTGGTTCTGTTCAATAGGACTTAGAGTTGCCCAATGTTCAGATTGGGAAAGTTTAGCTATAGCTGATGTTCTCATTTGTCTTAATAATAATTGTTGATTTTGTAACAAACGCATATGTTGATATTGAAGTAAAAGTAAAGGATCTTCTATTCCAGATTTAGGTAAAGTAGTAGCAGCTATACCAGCAGGTACTGTACTAGGAACAGATGGTATTACTGGTTCAGACAACTGAAAACATATTTCACTAACTTAGCAAATTAAAGATAAAGAATCTTGTTTTTTTGAATTATTTAATATTATATAATAATTCAAAATATTAAAGAAAACATTGTTTACCTTTAAGGGAGGAATGGAGGGTCCTGGAATAAATGGCACTCTCCCACAAATTTTCATTAACTCCCCTAAAGTAGTATATCTTTCATCGCAAGTCCTTCTTACCATTAACCCAGCAGTAAAGTATCCGGCCTTGCACCATTCTGCCATTTCACTTGCTAAAAATGGACCCTGTACTTCACCTTGTGGATCACGATAAAACCATTTCTCTTGCACGTTCGAAGATGTTTGTTGATTGCTCATAGATGGAGATATAGTTGCCGCTTTTTCTCTGTGGCTTTCTTCATCAGCCATCAATGTGGCTACCAGAGCATCAGCTTTTTCCTTCATTCTATCTAAATCATCTTCTGATTTTTTTACATTATCTATTACTGTTTCGTGCGCAACCTTTTGTGATTCTGCTTGTACCGATAACTGTTTATTCGCAGTAGACGCTAATATATCCTTATCAACCGCTAATTCTGCAGTTCCTCTGTCATGCATCACACTTGAGCATTTATTATCTGTATCATTTGATGGAGTTTTATCGCTTTCAATATTATTAGTATTTACATTTGTCACTAATGGCATAGTAAGAGAAGCAGATGAAGATGTAGATGATAAACTTTTTGCTGAAGTATTGCTAGATGTTGAAAGAACTGCTTTATTTGGAGAATTGCAAACGTCTCTTTCTGTAGTGTTGTCTTTTTCTTCTATTAAACGAACAGATTTGGATTTTTCTCTATGCTTTGTACCAGTTGAATCATTTATGTGACGATTTTCTACTTGTCCCTGGCCTGTGCCATATGATATAGATTTGTTATTAGACTTTGATGTACTAGAAGCATTTCCTTCAGAAACACGTCGAGTCCTTAACTCTTGAGAATTTCTTATGCTAATAATTCCTTCATCGTCATCATCGGAATACATTCCTCCATGAAATGCTCCTGAAGCATCAAATCGCCCTCCGCTTTCGCTAGGATTTTCAGTCGCCCTAATATACATATATATATACATATATATGCATATATAAATGACACTTTATATAATATGATTTCACATTTCAAGAAGATTTAACATTATTACCATTCTGGAAGATTATCATGATTATCATGATGATTAGATTCCCATGTACGTGCCGTACGAGGTGGAGGAAGATGGTTCGTTTCGTGAGGAGATCTATGATTCCCACGGAATTCCCATCGCCCACCAACACTTCGATTTTCTTCGTTATCACCTTCATTTCTATCCAACCTGTCCCTATCTATACTACCTCCTTCGCGCCAACTATTTCTACCTGTGAAAGATATATTATAAATAAATATAATTTGACAATTTGTTGAAATAGAATAAGTAAAGTTTACTTACCCCACTTACGCCAACCATCATCATCTTCTCCACCATTTCTATATCGTCGCCAATTACTTTCCATAAGAGAACTTCCACTAATTCCACGAGATAATTCTTTTCTAGGACTAGTAGAACCATTCCATTCAATTGGATCCGAGGATCCATTTCTTTCTGACCAGCCCCGTTCACTTTGAGATCTTTCAAATGGTCGATTTCTTGCCTAAATAATAGTATAAAACAATATAACATGTTTCATTTTATCAGAATTATTTAAAAGAATACTTCTGTTTGTGTCTTTAGAATAAATATTACATACTTGAAAAGATTGGCCTGAATCAATGCGAATTACTTCACTAGGATCCTCAAAACCAACTGCTCTGGAATAATGAGAATATAAACCGCCTCTTCCATTTCTACTTCTCCCTCCACGATCTACACTTCCACCTCTTCCACGGCTTCCAATATTAGTCACACCTCCATTCCATAAACGCTACATTTTTACATTATTTCAATATTATATTTATATATCGTTGATGATCCCAAACAAAAGAAATTGATAATATTTAGCACAAATAGCGTTAGAAATGATTTTTCTAATTTAAGTTTAAAAATGTATTAGTCTTATTTACCGTTTCATCTTCTGTCATTTGTATAAGAGCCAATGGAAGTTGAGGTTTGTCAACGTATAATGTTGAAAATGTTGCCAATGGCTCAGGTGGTTTATAATTACGGTCAAATAAAGCCAGCATCTCTTCTCTTCCATATCTATGCTCCGCTAATTGATATCGTGGAGTACTTAAAGTCGAGGTACTTCCACTAGTACCACTACTATTCGAATTTTCTCCTGAGAGATTACGCAACCTATTTAATATATAAATACTTGCTTATTTATCGTTCATTTTTATTTCTAATGATATTAAATAATATCATACAACATATTGTGTTAATAATAAATAATGTAAATATTAATGACAATTATTCATTATTACGTACCATTCAGGACCAAACTTCATAGAATCCGTCATGATGTACTATTTGCTACAAAATAAAATAAAATAAAGAGAGAGAGAGAGAGAGAGAAAGAATAAAAAAAAACAACAACAAGAAAAATGAGATAATACACAGTTCATGTAATAACAAAGATATAACGAAAAATTTTAAAAATCACTTTCATAAGAAAGAAATATTAGCATATTCATAAACAAACTAAATAATGTATGTATAAATAAAAAAAAAAAAAAAAGAAAATGATTATTGAATATGAAGAATAGAGAGAATATTGTATTGCTCAACATGAAAAATTTATGTATATTAAAATATTTGATAAAAATCTAACGATATCATATGGTACATATGATATAGATATGATATAAGAAATTAAATGAAAGAGAATTTATAGCAAAACAATAAGTAACACAATAAAACAAAAAAAATAATTAACAGTTTTGGACTATGATGTTGCACAATAAAAATAATGGAAATTATTTTTATTAAAGATTCAAGGATGAAATTTTATTGTCGAAAGATAAATGCAACACATTAAGAATGAAATAAAATAACAAAGTACACAACAGACGGTAGAAATGGCATGTTATGAGCAATTTTCTTTATAATACTATAATTACAAAGTCACCTTTAATAGATAAATAAATATACTAAATATATGTTATCATTTAGATATCATTCTTAATAGAGCAAATATTATATCTTTATTTATGAAATATTTTCTAACGATGCAATTTTCTAAGCCAAGGTGGCAATATTAACCAAACTTTTTTTTGTCGATAGATATCACATTAAATGCCAAATAAAAGATTCATTCATTTAGACAAATCTTTAAAAAGTATTTATTAATGCTATATAAAATAATTATAAAAAATCTGTAAACAAATAAAACAAATACCTTTGTGATCTTTGAAATAATTAAGAGCAGCGATAAAACACACCAATATGGCTGATGAATTTTTAGGAATAAAGCGCATGCGGATGTAGTTGGCATGTCTGAACCACGAAGCTTAGATAATAAGAAGAACGATCGCTATAGGCAATTTGTCATAAATTGTATCTCCTAAAATAGTAACAAAATACCAATACTTATTTCTGCCACTAGGGCGGCGTGGTGATCATCTCGATCCTAGTGACGTCACAGAAAACCATTAAGCATTGTGTATTTGTAAACATACATGTGGATAAATATTTTTTAACAGTGTTCAACATTTTTATGTTTTCCAAGAAATAAAAATAGTATTGTTAAAAATGGTGAAAAAGTGTGCTATAAAAAATTGTTTTAGTGGCTCTTCAGTTGAAAGGAAATTAAAATAGGAGTTAAATCAACGACAAACAGCTTTATAACCAATATACTTGTAATATATATAACATTATTAAAAAAATTTTCTTCCTTCATTAGTTTGCTTGTTCGTCAAATTTTAAATAAATAATTTAATAAACAATAATTACATAAATCTGTTGATAATTTCAAGTATGTACAAATGATTTTATTTAATATTGTTGAGCGCTAATGAATCTAAGTAGCTACAGCGCACCCTGGAATAAAACTTTATTTATTCTATGTTTTGGGGACATTTTTATACACAGCGATCGTGCTCCTTCTTATTTAAGCTCTGTGGTCTGAACATACAAAATTCTTCAGTACATTAAAACATTAACTAAAGAGAATTATATAGAGTGGACACTTGACATAAATATTGATGTCATTATTGATGCAGTTTCGAGAAGTGCACTCCCTTCTCATACCTTTTATAGTTCGTGCTTATGTGACAAGAAACTCTCTCTCCTCTCTCTCTCTCTTTTGTATTGATTATTGTTGACTGTATTTAATAACCAGTATTTTCATTTACGATTTTCCGTATCATCGTATACCATCTAAAATTGTGTGATATTAAATTGATATTATTATAATTAAACTATTTAATAATTTATAAGATAATATAATTATTAATATAATAATAGTGTATTTATATGTCATTTATATTACTATATTATTATTATTAAAATCTAAGTATGTTGACGACTAAGTATGTTTACTCTATAGACATTTTCACGGTTATCACAAACTATTTTTGGGTAAATTTCATTTTTCACTACGTCAAAGTCCTTGAAATAATTGGAAGAAATTCATATATCATCTTCAAAGTTTATAAATTTAAATTAGAACAAGAAATTGAAACAATAACTTATTATTTAGAATTCATTCATTCACATGTAATAGTATTTAAATGTTTCTCTTGTAACCAGAGATCATAAATGGTGAAAATTACTCTAAAGAGATTCGTTAGATAAAATCGTACACTGATTGGTTAAATTAAGTCACATTCTGATTGGCAACCGATGTTTCAATGTCGCATACATGACAAAAATGTAATCACATACTGTTAGTTGCTGTTAGCTATTCAAATCTAGTATAATAATTTTTGGATAAAAACAAACTATAATCATTATCAAAAGAGATTATTGTCACCGTTTCTTTTCTAAGAACTTAAATATAAAAAAAAAAACGACAGCAGCGCGCTCAAAATACATACAACAAAAATGCAGATATCACTTAATCATGAACTAGCAGTGACTCGCATTATGTTGTAACAACAATAGTATTAATCTAAAATGAAACGTTATGCGTTATCCAGCACAACTTTTTAATATAATTTGGTTATTTTCTTTATTAATTTTATACAGCAATGCTGCCGTTGACAAATATGAAATTGACTGTAGTAATTTGCGAATTGGACAATATATCTGCCCTCATCCCGATTATGATTTCATAGATAAAAAGACTCAACAACCTAAAGGATGTACGAAAGATAATAAAGCCAAAGGTAAATCTATATATTCATATGTTTCCTTATAATATTTATATTACTTATATTTATCCTTTGTATTAATAACAGTATTAACCTTTTTCTTAAAATATACTCTGTATATTTATATAGAGACTGAGAAATAAAAATTACAATGGTGTACACTTGATGAATAATTTATTTAATTTTTCAGTTTTATGTCTAGCCTCAGAAGGGCTCATTTGTACAGAAACAAGGAATAATACTTTTAAAAAGGATATACCATGTAGATGGACGTATGTATACATATATTATTCATTTCTATACATTAATTAACAGACATAATTTATCGTAACGAACATTCTTTTATAATCATTTACAGTAATGGATATTCCTTTGAAACAACTTTACTGTTGTCTATATTTTTGGGTATGTTTGGCGCGGATCGATTTTATCTTGGATATCCAGCACTTGGATTGTTAAAATTAAGTACCTTAGGTTTTCTCTTCCTGGGTCAATTTGCAGATGTTATATTAATAGCAACGCAAATTGTTGGTCCAGCGGATGGTTCGCATTATGTTATGCCATATTATGGTGCCGGAATTAATATTGTTACAAGTAATAACTACACATACAGAGTGCCACAATACGATAGCTGATTTTGTTCTTACAATGGTAGCACAGTATAAAAATCATTATTTTAAGAAATTCCAACTATTGCATCTACCACATAACGAGTAACGATGTACAATCTTTTGTACAATCTTTTGCATATGAGTCCTATCATCTTAAATTGAATTTGGATGTATTATTCTTTACATTAATGCTATAACAAGTTTTATCCAAAAAGGCTATCTTGTAGATATATTTTTCAATGAACAATTGTATATAAATCAATAAATTTTTGTTTTTATTATCAATCAATCATACATTTTAATTTGTTCATTTTATATATCATAATGCTCTATGAACTTTTATTTATTTATTCATGACATCTTGATATTTGATCTTGATATTTTCTAATATTATGATTTTTGAAAATTCAACATGAATGGTATCCATTTAAAGAGTCGAAGATCGAATTCTCTGAGCTCTAAATAATATCTCTCATTTTCTTTCTTGTTATTTCTTTGGACCAGCTATGCAATTACGAAATTCTATATTGTCATCTAAGAATGTAATGACACCATCGTGCTTCTCTAGGTCTTCGAGAGTATGACCGACAGTTCGTCGATTTAGTAGCCATGGTTTTGGAGGAGGTGTTTGAGGCAATGGCCTAGATTTCATTGGATATGGTGCTCGATATTCAATCTCTGTCGTGGTTCGATAATTTATGCAGCTCATATTTTCAGGATTATAGATTATATCCTCTAATTTAAGATCTTTCTCATATTCTCCCCTTTTATTCAAAGTTACAAGTTTTTAAATTTTTCATACATTTAAATGTATACAAATTTTACTTACTTGGTCCTTGCAAGAGATAACATCTTAAGATAACTTCTATGTGGCTGCATCGATTTGTATAAATCTTTGAAATTTATTTGAGATAACATAGCGCGAGTTTCAGATACACCTATAGGTTCGTTTAGTGAACCTAATCGTCTGTAAGTTGAATTTTGAAGATTTCCTTTTGGTGGAAAAATATCCGTATTATCTTTTGGCTCTGCCAACGTACTCATTTGCCTATACGAAAGTACAAAATATAATATTTAAATGTAATTTGCTTCGAATACGGTATATATGTACTACTGTACATGTACTACTGTATTGGGTCATGGAAGGTTTTCAACATCTAAAAAGTAATCAGTTAAATAATGTTTTTGTAGTAAAACTGCTGTTTCGTGACAAGGAACTTCTACAAATGTTATCTGATTCACTTCAAATTGTTTATACATGAATACTATTTCAATAGTTATGTATTATAATAGTTGCAATATTACTTTCAGAAATAAAGTCAGAAATAATGCATATTTTTGTTTTTTTAAGTTGTAATATCAAGCGTTAGAACAGTCTCGTGAGCCACTGTAAGGTGGTGTAATCCATCGTGAGGTATAATAGTGAAGGAGGTGGAATGTGTTTGTCGTTGCTACAACAAACAACAAAGGTATAATGTCGTACAATATGTCAATATTTACTTACCAATCATGAATTTTGACTTTTTTATTATATGACGCGGGTACACTCAATTGATTGGCTTGAAAATCTTCAGATTTGTCATCGCAGGGTAGAAAAATCGGCTGAAATGCACATCATACATACATAAATTTATATTCAATTTGTATTACCGATTCGAGATTAACATTCAACAATCTAACTCACATTTATTTGTCCTCTCTCTCTCTCTCTCTTTTTCATTTTGATCAATTTATATATTAAACTACTACTACAATTATTAGTACCAATGAATTAAATAAAAGTGATATTTATAAACTATAAAATGTATTATTAAACATGTAGATCTTATCATTCTTTTTAAAATACACTAAAAAAAAAAAAAAACATTGTTAGACACAGACACGATGTCTTTTTTTTTCTTCCAAGTAACTTGATTCTTTACGTTTTCAGAACTTATTTTATAAATTCAAGTTGTATTCCAATGGAATTGAGTATTGATCGATTAATTGAATCAGAATAATGAGAAAATATGAAAAAATATGAAAAAAATAATGGTCAAACCAAAAGTTTTAGAAGACAGACAAAATGCACAAGAAGAGAATTTAGAACAACAAAAAGAAAGAATTTTCGCGAAAGAGCTACATTTTCAGAATATTCTAGCAGAAAAATATGACAAATATGGTGCTAAAGATAAATTTATTTATTCTTTGTACAATGATTTATTGAAAAATTTTGTAATCGAGTAATTGTCTCTTTTTCTTTTTCATTTGCCTAGTTTATTTGAAATAATTTCATTATATTGACGTAGGTTGGATGGATATTTGTTACCTAAAAAGTTTATTACCTCACACATATGTAATAATAAAATATGCGGAATTTTTAATAATAAAAATGAAAATGAAGGTACGTCCTTAGAAGATATTACAGAAACGAAATTTGATGAAAACAATGATCTTATAAGAGATAAAACAAATAAATTATATTTAAGATCAAGTTTAAAAGAGGAACATATTCATTTCTATTTTCTCAATAATAATAGCTATTGTGGTTGTACAAGTAGAAAAATGATGAACGGAGAAGGATTATATAAATGGCATCATGGTATACAATATAAGGTTTGATTTGAAAACGTTTTCATTATAAGATCTACTTTCTTTGTAAAAATTACATTAGGTAATATATAAATATTGATTAATTAAGTTGTTAATAGGGTCAGTTTAAGGAAAATCAAATACAAGGTAGGGGACTTTTAGAATGGCAGAGTAATTGTTGGTACGAAGGAGAATTTATGAAAGGTTATCGCCATGGTAAAGGTACACTGGTGGACAAAGATCATTATCGTTTGTATATAGGTCAATGGCACATGGGATACAGGCATGGAAAAGGGTATGAAATTTTTTTTTAATGTAAATTATGGATATTTTATATATATATTATTAATATATATATATAAAAAATTTATATATATATATATATATAGTTATTGTTGTTACGCTGATGGTGACTCATATGACGGAGAGTGGTCAATGGGTAAAAGAAATGGTATAGGTTTTTATGTGTATTCAAGCGGAGCTCGATATAAAGGCCATTGGAAAAATGATTTTCGACATGGAAATGGAATTATGGCATGGCCCAATGGCGATGTTTATCATGGAGAATGGGAATGTGGAGATATACATGGGTCATTAATTATTCTTTTGGTCTTTCTTTTCTCTTTTTCATTATTAAAAATTAACGTGATTGATACAATTTTAATAATTAATAGTTATGGTGAATATATATGGCATGGCTTTTGTAACAAAAATTTCTGTTGGCCACAAAGTATTTTATATTTTGGCAATTGGTATCACAGTACAAAACATGGAAAAGGTCAGTAGATTATCAATCTATCAAATCTTTGAAGATATTACTGCAAATTACATGAAATTAATATATTAGTCATATATTTGAAAAAATGGTGAATGGTGAATGATGAATGGTCTTCGTTGTGGTGCACTTATAGAATTTTATTTAATATGGTAGATATGATAGATATTTTCACTTATGTATAAGTAAAATATATCAACGAGATAAAGTTTTATGACATATTGTAAATAAGTATTTTCACTGACAATCTCATTATCATAAATATATCACATGTATGTACGTAACTGAATAATAATTTAAGGCTACGTCAGCGTACTAATTTTCACTGTTAAATGTCCTTTTTTCTTTTTTTATCATTTTGAATAGGTTTATTGAAGTTGAACTCAATGGGTGGTGTAAAGTATTTTGGCTATTGGAAATATAATAAGAAACATGGTTATGGAATAATAATTGGTAAACTTTATTTAATCTTTTTAAGTGTTAATTATAAAAGAATTTATTTTAAGTAAATAATCTTAAAAATTTTAATGTATCATAGTAATGATTTATAGGAAATAATGGAGAATTAATGGAGGGTCAACCTTTATATTCCAAAGATATTCTAACTTCTTCGTAAGAATGATAACATTTATTTGTTCAATAATCAATAGGCGAAAACAAGTTCAAGTAGTTGAGAATTTATTGTTTATTTATTATTTATAGACATGCAAATAAGATATCGAATATCCTGAAACCTCGTACAGCTACAGTTTTAAGGCCAGAACAATTTCCATCTTTATCGTACCATATAAATCGTTTAATTAAATTATCATCAATGACAAACTTTTCAGTTTGTTCTCGTTCCTTAGGAAAATGTTATGTTTGTAAACAACAACAACAACAACAGTCATGCTCTTGTTTGCTTCAATTTTCGTTTCAAACAAGGTATGAACCAAATATTCGCATAAACAGTATCGATATAAAATGGCAATCTGAACAAAATCAAATATATGATTATTTAACAATGCACATGTTACAAATACGACATGTCTATGACATTTATGCAAAATTATTTAACAAGGAAGAATCTAATTGTAAGTGTCACTTTGTTATGATTAAACTGACACTTTGGCAATTATGGCGTGATTGTAACATTAATAACAAAGGTTTCAGTTTAATTGAAATTGATAATTATCTAGGTTAGTAAATTTTCATGATTATTTACATTTTATTAACTGATGGAGTATTGATTTACACATACACATTTATAAAATAATGTATTACGGTCTTTAGCTGAAAATGAATCAAGTTTTATAACAAAACCATATTATCCATTTGAACAAATTGAAATCTGGCAATTTTTGCATGCTTTGCTTGAAGTTTCATGGCGCATTTATTACTGGAAAGATAATCAAATAAAACTAAAAAAACAATGGGAACACGGAGTGATAGCAAAATGTTTAAATGAATTTCTCACACATGATGTGTATCCCAATGCTGGAAATTTTATTGGTATGTTTCTTTAAATTTACAAGTATTTAATCACAAGTAAGCAAATTTTATGCTAAAGTTATTTTACTGAATAGTATACGATCCATTTTATATCCTTTCGATCCTTCTTTTTCTATTCTTCTATGTTATTCAATAACAACAAATAAACATAAAATACAAAATATTAGATATGAAAAATGACTAATAATATTTGAAAATAACTTATATATTTCTTAATAGGTGTGATTCCACGTGAATTTAATATTCTTCTGCCAATTAATTCTATATATAAACTTTACAAACAAATAGGATATCCACCAACTGCAACAGATCTGTTAATAGCAAGTGTTAGAAATCGTAAAATAGGTGCTAATGTACCTTCAATAACCCAAACTACTTTAATTATGCCAGAATACATTTTCAATGGATTAAATTGTGTTATAATTGGTGAAAGAATTCATTTTCTTTCAAGAGGTGATAAATCTTTTCTGCAAACAAATTATAAAATGCAGAAAATTGACAAATGGCTGAGTAATGACACGAGAGAATTATTCCTTTTCCAAGAACTAGGACCGACTAAAATAGTACAGATTATGACAAAAGTCTGTCCTTCAATCAAGAATAATGATAATCAAACAATTCTTAACATGAATTATTTATTGACATTTCTTGAATTTTATGAAATCATATTACAAGCTGCAAAGTGTATAGTAAAATTGCGGAAAAATGAAAATGTTTCGACATAAAAAGTATAGATTCCTTTGCATTATTTATTGTCAGTCGAAACACAGTAATGTTTGTCAATTATCCAGTAAAATGTTTGGTAACAACTTTTGTATACATTAAAAATTACTTGTTTAACCTTTTGCGGTCCGAGCGCTCTTCATCTTTTCGTTCTAACAGGTCCGCGCTGAATTTGCAAGTCGCTTATCCGCTTGGTAGCGTTTACTTTGGAAAACATTTATGATCTTACAAACGTAACGTATTTATGAATTAGTAGATATATAAAACAAAATAAAATAAAATAAAATAAAATAAAATAAAATAAAATAAAATTGTAACATTTTTTAAATATTATTTTTTATTGTTTACAACTTATAATTATCCATTGTATATGATACCGTTTAATTCTTTGAAATTGTTCTTCTATGTTGTCTAAAGAATTACTATCATCACTTTTAAATTCATTATCATGCACTGTTGTACGTCGACTCTGTCGTTTAGTCATATTCTCTAAAAACAAAAATTATTTTATAAAAATGTAGGATTTGAAAACGCTTTCTATTTGTGCTAGGACTTTGAATTGTACGCCACAGTGTGTTTAAAAAAACTAAAACTAAGCCCACAAGCCAACATTTAGACTAACAAGAAGAGGCCGCGATTGTGACCCTTCCGATTTTTCCGAAATTTGGCACACTTGTAATAGCCCATGAGAAGATTCATTGGACCTTTAAAATAGAATGCCGAATGCGATTGTCATAGAAAGAAACAAATATATAGAGTGATCTGTAACTGGTAGTACAAGCGAATAGGGAGTGATTCTACATGAAAAAATAAATCGAAAATAAAAAATAACAATTTTTCGTTTGAGGCTTTGTTTTCGAAAAAATCGACTTTGAATTTTCGCAAAGTATAACTTTTCGTTAGATCGCGTCAGTCACGCATGACTGTCGTCTGTCAACTATTTTTTCAATACAAAGTAACGCCTGTGGCCTGACGGGAATTTCCCTAATAGACTACAGGCCCGACCTAAAAAATCGATGGGTCATATGATCCCGCAGGAAACCTTTATTAGACGATAGAAGGGCATAAAATAATAATTTTTAGCACTATGTCGTGACTTGTAAGCTGTCCAACTGAGTGCAGGTGAGAATTAAAAAGCACAAAATAACCGGGTGCTTTTTTATCAAATGATTTT